CTAGGATCCACATATGAGGAAGAACATATGCCGATTTATTTTTCTGAGTCTGTGTTACTTCACTTATTACAACAGTTTCTAGTTCCATCCATTTACCTGTATATTTCGTGATTTCATCTTTCTTTACAGTTGAGTAAAACTCCATTGTAAAAATGAACCACATTTTCTTTATCTACTTGTCAATAGAGGGACACTTAGGTTGCTTCCATCTCTTAGCTATTATAAAAGAGCAGCAACAAACATGGATGTACAAGTGTTTCTGCAATAGGATGAGTTCTTTGGGTACATGCCAAGGAGTGGTATAACTGGGTCAAATGGTAGGTTCATTTGTAGTTTTTAGAGTTCTCCACACTGTTTTCCACAGAGGTTGAACCAGTTTGCAGCCCCACCAGCAGTGGATGAGTGTTCCCCTTTCCCCACATCCTCTCCAACATTTCGTATCATTTGTTCTCTTGATCTTAGCTGGTCTGACTGGGGTAAGATGAAATCTTGAAGTGGTTTTAATTTGCATTTTCCTAATTATTGGTGAAGTTGAACATTTTTTAAGATGCTTCTTAGCCATCTTTACTTCTTCTTTTGAGAACTCTCTGTTCATCTCCTTAGCCTATCTTTTAATTGGGTTACTTCTCGTCTTGATTCTCTGTTTTTTGAGTTCGTTATATATTCTGGATATTAAACCTCTCTCAGATGTGTCGTTGGTGAAGATTATCTCCCATTCTGTGGGTTTTCTCTGAACTTCCCTGATTGCCTCCTTTGAGGTACAGAAGCTTTTTGGTTTAATGAGGTCTCATTTGCTAATTCTTTCCCTTGTTTTCTGAGCAATTAATGTCTGGTTTAGAAAATCCTTTCCTACGCCTATATCTTGTAAGTTTTTGCCAATGTTTTCTTCTAACAGTTTCAGAGTTTCACGCTTTACATTGAGGTCTTTGATCCATTTGGAATTGACTTTGTGCAGGGTGAAAGAAAGGGGTTTAGTTTCATTCTTCTGCAGGTGGAGATCCAGTTTTGCCAGCACCATTTGCTGAACATGCTCTTTCCTCTAGAGCTCTTTCCTCTTGGCCCCCTCTATCAAATATCAGGTGGCTGAACTTGCATTTACTCATATTTGGGTCTTCAATTTTGTTCCACTGATCTATAGGTCTATTTTTGTACCAGTACCACGTTGTTTTTATGACTATGCTCTGTAATACAGTTTAAAATCTGGTATAGTAATCCCTCTGGCATTTCTCCTAGTGCTCAGAGTTGTTTAGGCTATCCAAGGTCTTTTGTGCTTCCATATGAATCTTAGGATGGTTTTTCCAATTCTGTGAAAAATATCATGGGGATTTTGATTGGCAT